GCTCACCAACTCCCAAGGTAACTGGTTCCACTGTCATACTGCTCTAACAGTTAGGAAGTTTTTCCTGATATTCAACCGAAATCTGATTTCCTTTAACTTGAGCCCATTGTTGCGTGTCCTGCACTCTGGGATGATCGAGAACAAATCTTGTCCCTCCTCTGTATGACAGACAGCCTTTCAAATATTTGGAAAGTGCTATCATATCACCCCTCAGTCTTCTTTTCTCAAGGCTAAACATGCCCAATTCTTTCAGCCTTTCTTCTTAAGGCTTGGTTTCTAGCCCCCTGATCATCCTTCTCACCCTCCCCTGAACTTGTTCCAATTTCTTAGCACCCTTCTTGAAGTGTGGTGTCCAGAACTGGACACAGCACTCAAGGTGAGTCCTAACCAGTGCTGAATAGAGGGTAACTAGCACCTTGCAGGATTTGAAAACTATACTTCGATTAATGCATCCTAAAATAGCATTTGCCCTTTTTGTAGCCACATCACACTGTTCGCTCATATTTAATCTATGACAATTCCAAGATCCTTCTCACTCGTAGTTTTGCTGAGGCAGGTATCCCCCATCTTGTAACTTTGCAACTGGTTTCTTTTTTGGAGGTGCAGGACTTTGCACTTATCTCTGTTGAATTTCATTCTATTGCTTTCGGTCCAGTGCTCCATCCTATCAAGGTCATTCTGAATTTTGTTCCTGTCTTCTAATGTATTAGCTATTGTATTCCACCCAATTTGATATCATCTGCAAATTTGACAAGCATTCCCCGCACTTCCTCATCCAAGTCATTAATAAAAATATTGAAGAGCACCAGGGCCAGGACTGAGCCTTGGAGTACCCCACTTGTGACCTCCTCCCAGTTGGGGAAGGACCCATTAATCATCACCCTCTCAGTAGAATTCTGTAGCCAATTGTGTATCCGTCTGACACTTGATCTATCCAGCCCACACGCTAATCAGGGTATCATGGGGCACTTTGTCAAAAGCTTTGCTGAAGTCAAGATATACTATACTACCTCTATGCCTTTTGGTAACTTGTTCTTTTGAAATGCCCGACTTCCTTTATTTCCCATATCTGGGAATCGGATGTTAAGAGAGAAGGCTGGGTTACAGGGGCAGCAATGAAGTAAGACAGTTCGTTAATTGCCCTCCTTCTGCTTCATTTGAAAGATTACGGTTCCACTGTTAACAACTCTGATAAATAGTTCCCATTATTTCCAGTGAGCACTCTTGGTACTTGTTTTTGGTACATTTCTGCCTGTCATAGTGATTTCACTGAACATTTCCAGAACTTAGAAGACCTCTTTCTTGATACACGTGCACTGTTGTTGCTGGACTACATAAAGTCTCTTGTGGACTTTTAAGAAAAATAATGCAGCCGAGTACTGTACGCACGCCTTTGGAGCAAACCTCTACGTCCTCGAGTGAAATTTGCTTTTGCAGAGCGGCAGCGCAAACGCCAACCCTCCCAGTTACACGAAGAACAACGCAAAAGAAAGAGCGAAGCTTTTCAGCTTCTAACTCTGCCGCCCAGATCCTGGTGGGTCCGTTAGGAATACAGTACCTGCAACTCTGGCAGTGTGAACAACGGGAGCACGGGGTTTTCCCGAGATCGCAGTTTCAGTTTCCTTTGTGGCACACTCGTGTGTGTTGCACGCACACGCACCTTCCCCTCCCCCGAAACAGTTTATTGGTCCTTTCTTTAAAACTAGGGGCAGAGGGAAGAAAGAACCGGCCTCGCTTGGTTTGTACTGCATCTCAGATGTTGCAAATTAAATGGTAAAGGCCCGGAGAGCGGCACTGGGGGGGGCAACTGACCTCTCCTGCACCGAAACACATGGCCGTGGTTGTCCAGCCCCTCCCCCTGGCAAGGTGGAGAAAGGGAGGGGACGGAGGAGGAGGAGGAGGCGGCGGCGAAGGGAAAGGGGCCGCTCGGACAGATGCTTCGGGTAGAGCCCCGGCGCTGCGCATGCGTGCGGTTCCGCTGGCGTTTCCCTCCCCTCGGCTCTGCCTTCTGCAACCTGAAGTGGCTGCGGGCGCCTCCCGACCATGGCACCTTGGCTGAAGTTTTGCTCCTTCTTCTTCTCTCTGACGGCCTGCTTGGACGGACCGCGGCTTGCCGTCTCCGCCGGAGGGACCGGCGCAGGAGGAGGAGGAGGCGGCGGCGGCGGCAGGAAAGGGCCAGCGGGCGATGCTTGTGGCTGGAGGGTGAGGAAGGAAAGGAAAGGAGGAAGGGAGGCTGCGGTCCCAAGTGCGTTTGCATTCAGCCCAGGGCGCATCGGCGGAGGCGGGGGGGGGTGTCCTGTGCTATTTGTGTCTGTATTGTGTCAGTGATGGGGGGGGGGAACGGAGTTGGCA